AGATATTTACAGGTCCTCGAACCGATGTTTAACTTATCAAGTACGTTTACTGCTACATCAATTGAAATGTTATTGTAAGCGTTCTCGATATCCAAGAAACAAGCTAATGTTGGCATATTTTTGGAAAAACCAATCTGAGTGTACGTAACTAATTTAGTCAAACAGTCCAAGCAGGATTTTGATTTTCTAAACCCTATTGTAAACGGTGATAGTATTTTTTCTTTTTCGGTATACCACTCTAATCTTTTAAAAATCATCAAATGAAATGTTTTACATATACACGATAGTAAGGATATGGGTCGTAATTTAATGTCACCATTATTATTATTGGTTTTGGGAATAGGAACTATTTGGATGTTTCGCCATTGAGAGGGAATCACACCATGTTTAAAAATAATATTATACACAGCAAGTAAATAGTTTTCAGCTATACACGGCAAATAGCAAAGCATGGCATAAGATATACCGTCTTCACCTGGAGACGAATCCCTCCCCTTTAAAACGCTTTGAAGTTCATGAATCGAAAAGTCCTTTTCCAAAGCTTCATTTCTAGATGTGAAAATGGGTTCTGAATTAGAAGCATAATCTGCAGTTAGAGAATTTAATAGATCCGTACATTTTTGTATAGAAGGGTACACCTTTGCTTGTTTATACCCTTTTATCCATTTCATACGCTGCCAAATATGAGAAGCTGAAACTTGTTCATTAAAGGAGTCACAAAACTTATGCCAACTATCCGATTTTGCTTTTCTAATTAACATTTGAGATTTTTTTGTTACATTCTCTAAATTTGTAAGATTATCAGGCGTAGGGTTCCGTCTAAAGTTAACCAAAGCCAACCTCCTCTGTGCGACTATTTTAGACAATTCTGGACTCCAATAATCCTTTGGTTTGAATTTGTTATCGGGCTTATTACATATTTTTACGAAAGGTATGTGTTTATCCGCCGCAGTATTAATTATACTTACTAGGTTGTCATATATTTTTTGAATGTTTTCGTAACTATGATTAACCAAATTTGGATTTTCTGAAATATTCTGTAAATACTTATTCCAATTTGCACGTTTATAGTTGCGTTTTCTTACATACCTGAAATCATTTGTGATGTTTAACGACATCTTAATTATTAGGTGATCGCTTCCCAAATTTTCATTACTAACTTGCCAATAAAATTTGATAGCTACGTCGGAAGAGGCAAACGAAATGTCGGGCGAAGTTTGTTGTACATGACCATTTACCAATTTAACTCGTGTGAAATCACCCTTATTAATAGATATAAAATTATTCTCTAAAGAGGAGTCCATAATTTGGCAACCACGCACATCAGTTTTAACTGACCAATTACTATGATGCCCATTAAAATCCCCAGATATCAAGGTTTTCCTCGAAAAATGTGAAAAAATATCATCCCAATCCGAACCTTGAGTGCGTACGTTAGACGGGCAGTATACAGAAACCACATATTCTAAGTCCTTGCAGTTGATCAACCTTACACAAACCATTTCTATACCTGTATTGTTTACATGAAATACTTCTAAATAGGACTGAATAGTGTTATGTACAATAATAGCAACGCCACCGTATGAGTCATCTCGATCTTTTCTATAAATGTTATAACCGTTAATATTTATGTAGGATTCAATATCTAGCCACGTTTCGCTAATGATCGCTATGTGAATATTTTCCCGTGTTAAAAGGTCTGTAAATGTTGTCAATTTCGGGCGTAGACTTTGAGCATTCCACTGTACTATATTAAGCCTAATATAATCAGGTGTATTATTCATTACAAAGATCAAAAAAATATTCTAATAAATCACCTCTTAATAACTTACTAACAACAAAATTCTTTACTTCCTCCCATATGATTTTAATAACCAACAATGTTTTTTCTTCAAAGTTAATTGCAGACGTAATAACACGTTTAATTTTAAACCAAAATTGCTTAAATTCAAATTTATTTTTCAAATCAGCCTCTCGTTTTTTACTTTCCTGTGTATTATGCAATTCTTGATACTCAACTTCCATATTTAATTCCCTGCAACTATCTATACTCTCCACTCTTTTAGGCACGTTTTTCGATCTTCTGTTCGCATTTTGTACCGAATTTTTACTAAAATTAATAGCACTTTCTTCAGAACTTTCGTTCAAATTTTCTTCTACTATTTGACGAGCTGCCAGCCGTGGTTGATGTACCGAGCCGTTGTTGACTACACTACTATAGGTATTTTTGTCGTTGACTGTACTTATTGATGTGGTGTTTATTGATGTGATAATCCTCTCTTGAATACTTTTATTTTTATTCTTCCTCATTTCAGCATATAACTGTAGGGCTTTTCTATACGTAACCTGCTCTTTACTCATTATATTTCTTATTTCTTTTTCTCTAACGTAAAAAGGACATGTCTTCTCTAGAACTAAATGGTCACCTTTACAATTCAGACATTTAAACACTTTGATATCACAGTTATCATGACTTGCGCTACCGCATTTGGGGCATAAAATCTTCTTAGAGGGGCAGAACTTTTTTATGTGACCGAATTGCCAACAACCTGTGCATTGCGTTACTGGAAAACTATACGTATCTACTTTAAAACGGCACCCATATGCACTTATATACTGCGGCAGAATACCACCCTTAAAACAAATTTTAATCGCTTCACTCGCCACCCAAGCGCCATCGAAATTTAACCTATTCAATCTCTTCAAGGTCAAAATTTCAACTTCACATTCCATGATTTTCATTAATTCTTCATCACTCATGTCAAGGTCAATACCTTTCACTACTCCATGAATCACATTTAATTCATGTGTAAATTGGGTACGCAATCCCATTTCTTTTAATGTTTCACATTCCATCAATTTCAAGGCACATTCCTTTTTAAAAAATGAAATAATTGCTTTGTTTACGTTTTTATACTTAATACGATCAATACCTGTAATATTTTGAGATCGTAATAACTTTGCCATCGCAATCTGTTTAGGTAAACATTCTAAAGAAGTAATACATACTTCGTGCTTTTCAACGCATTCCTTCGCTTTGTTATTTTTTTCTAAATCTACCCCCACATTTGTATGTGTACTCGACGAATCTCTCCTGATCAACCGTTTACTCCTTCTTCGAGTAACCGTAATAAAACCCTCTTCGTCACTATTTAAACTGCCTTCCTCACTATTTTCTTCCCGCTCTTTTCTTTTCAACGTATTCTTGTCTACACTTTCATTCATTTCTGTTGTTGAACTTTTCTCACCAGATTCCCCCAGCTCTCGTTCTACCCTCTCTAAATACTCCGAGTCACTCATATCCTCCTCAAGATTAACTTCATCCATCTTGTGACCGAAACCACAAATAAAACAAAAAACCGTATCTCGTTACGAAATAATGTACGTGCTCACTGTACGATAGCTCACGCGACACTCCATGTTTTTATTTGATATTTCTAAAATTTACATATATTACTATAATTTTAACATAAACCAAAAAGTTGTGATAATTTAAACTGGTATTGTGTGTGTAAAATGTGTTTTTTTGTGAATTTCATATCAATTAAGGTAAATGAAAGTGAAATTGATTATAGTATGCCAAGTAATTCTTTCGTAAATAAAGTAAAGTAAATCTTTCGTAATTATTGAAAAATAAATCATCGTAAAACACATTCATTTTCACTAAATGCCCTAGAAATCACCGCTTGAGACTAGTTTCAGCTTGTCTCACGTAAACAAAGATCACAGCTATCAAAATCTATACCTGAGTAATGATTTCGACATAAACATCGTTCTAAAATACGCTATCACTCACTTGAGTAAGGAGTGTCGAATCTCGTTTTAAGTGACGTTCAATAATAAAATCTCTACTTAAAATTAGTTTTAATACCAGATTCACGACTGAGACAACTTTTAAAATATGGGCCCTTGACTCAGAACAAGGATTTGTGAATCACACAAAGTGTTACAACACTCAGCGCAGTAGGAAGCGGCGAGGTGACCGTTTAAACCAAAGCCTTCCGTTCAATAGATAGGCCCGTGGCCCTGTATAAAACGGAGGCCCTATTATTTTATGGGTCATAGTCCACACCCTGGTGCTTCAATCGTGATCAACTCGGTTTAAATACTGGTTTAGCCGAGATTAACGGGAGGTGGCTCTTCAACGAGCACTTCCGACAGCTTGCTCCAAAACTGGTCGTCGCTGCGTTTGCCCATGGGCGACTTTTACCCAATTTGGGTGGACGGCTGTACACGGGGGTTGTCGGGTCAATGGCTCTATACGGTGCGGATGGTGGCCCCGAACGCCCAGAGTAGGGCGCGTCTCTGGCGCCCTCGAAAGTTATTGAAGGTTAGAACCTTAGGCGGTTGCCGCACCGTGTGTACGGAGGTGACGTCAGCGTTTGCGGTGGGATTTGGAGGCGGAATTATTTAGACGGACAGCTTAATTCTAGGCAAGTAGCGGCAGTCGGCTCCCGCTCAAAGAGGTACATGAGTCGAGTGAGGCTGCTGGATGACTCGTTGGTTGTCCCGGCTGGAGGTTCCACATGCTGGGTTTGCTGACGCGGAGGCGCTCCACCCTGACATGTAATGCATAATTCACAAAGCGTTTGGTAGTTTTTCAGATACAGATATTGTAGTATTCGGTAAAATATTGTTATTTTTATTAAATTTTGAAGACCGAAGAGATTTTCTCCGCGTATATGTTTTTTTTTTTGTAACGCAAAAAAAAAGTTGTCCAAATTTGCGCCCTAGGCTCCAGCCTACTCAGCCCGCTGGTAAATACGCCACTGCTCCTTCCTCAAAAGCCAGCTTGGGCGGCGATAGTTACTTTCCATCAGATGACCCGACCGTTCGTTTTCCCTCCATCTGATCTATAAAAAAATCCCTTCATATACCTAGTGATGCCAAGTATAGCACGTGCATTGACATATTTATAATATTACTATCGTTTATGGATATTAATACATTTTATGCTATAACAATACAGAGCACTACAACATAATATTTTTTTATTACAGTTAAAGCTGCAAGAACTGAATGGAGGAAACTTCGTGACAATCATCGGGAGGCTTTAAAAAGAGCAAAATTGGGTCAAAATAAATTATTACCAGCTCAAGTTACCACCTGGAAATATGCTAAAATCATGCAATTTCTAGAGCCTCATATGAAATATAGAATTACAGAAAACATAGACATGGAGCCGCCAGTTTGCTCAAGACCTATTAATTCAGATCACGATGTTTCAACGACTAATCCTCTCGACCAAACGAAAACTGAAATTCCCAATAAGCGCCGCTGTACAGAAGATTCTGGTAACATCTTGGAAGACAATTCAAATAAATTAATAAACATTAAAGAACCAGACGCTCTGGAATCTTTCTTTAACTGTATATTAAAAAGCACAAGGGACATGCCCAACTGGATGCAGACCCAAGTAAAGAAAAAAATATTTGCTGTCATAATAGATGCTGAAGAACGTCTTTCGTCTCAGGGACGAAATACTTCAATGGAACACTACGCTCATCCGACCTTTATTATAGAAAGTAAGATAAAGGCAGAAGTACCTGAAGATAGTTAAGGAAATCTGTTGTATTATGAATTAAGAAGTTGTTAAAATTGGGCGACTAAAATAAACATTTATTAATCAAATAGGGTATTTAATAATAAAAAAAAATGTGTAAATTCCATCCAGTTGTTTTTTTTGTATATAAAAAGTGGTTTCTATTATAACTTCAAATTTATTTTCTTTTTCAACATCAATTAAAAACAAGTCTTTACATTTAATATAATTTAAAATTGTATTTACTGCTTTAAAAAAAAGATATGAAACTTTTTTAACGTATTGTAGATTAGGTGTATTTTTAATGGTGTTTTAACCAGTGGTGTTACTCTGCCTTAGGCCCGAGGAGGTGTTTGCCTGACTGTATTGTAATTAATAATAGAAATATACACTTACAGCGTTTTCCCTAAATGCAGTCACCAAAATTGCATAAAATTCTATGAAAAAATAGTCGCAGAAAAACACAGAAAACGATATGCCTCATTTTGGTTGACTTAATAAAGTCGTTCTCACTTAATTTTAATTCGTCTTTGATATTCTGACGAAATAAGGCTGTTAGGAAGGCACGATCTTCTATAAACCCGGGTACGTCTTTTATAATAATACGGGGCCTTCGGCCTTTCGGTTTTTCTAATCGTAACTCTACTGATGTAATGGCGTCTACAAATTCCAGTTTCTTAAGCTGACTTTCGATAGCTACACGACGCGACGCCTGCCTTAGCGATTTTATTACCGACTACAATTTGGAAACCCTCATCGCTCGGTTTAATAGCCTTCATGAGAGCTTGTTTCGTTTCTGACGAGATCGCATAGTCTGCTGGGCGATCCGTAGTGGGATATGCAATAACACAGGGCCCTGGAACGCGCGCTTTAGTAGGTACCGGGCACGGGGCAGATTTATATGGTAAGCGAAGCTCAAGTTTGTCCGCGTACATTAAACACGTCTGTTGAGTTGCTTTACCCTCCATTTGACGCTTACAATTCGCTAACTTCGTTTCGTTGCTAGAGGATTTTATTGCTAACAAGGGTACGATACCGGTAATTCGTTGAGTAATTAACTACTTTCATGCGTGCCTACCTACGTGCATACATTAACCAATTCGTTAATTTATGCCAAATAATCGGTAGCCTGTGACTCTAACTAACTATCACTACCGCTAAGAGACAAGACATTCCCACTTAAATCCGTAGTATTAATGCGCTTACATCAGTTGTCTTTCGACGAGGAACCCGTAGGTGACATTTCACTAAAAAACCTTTTCCCGGCTGGTGTTAGAAATTCACTTGTACCGCCGGGATCCGGCAACTCGCTAACAACTGACATAGCCAAACAAAGACACACCAAACAACAATTAAAAAAAAACAAGCTTAAAATTGTTTATTTTTACACGCAAAGAAAAATCAATACAAACAAAGGATACCCCCTACCCACTTTTAGAAAGAAAATAATTTTGAAAATAATTTTGAGTGAACGGTTGTCGAGAACATGGCTTGAGGTGGATAACTGTGTCGCTCAATTTCTTACAGGATATGGTAACTTTAAGAGCAAGCTGTATTCATCTAAATTACTTAGTCGAGTCACCATTGTGTCAATGCTCAACACCTAACTCTAACTTTGAACATTATGCTTATCATATCCTTTGGGAATGTAGTCTTTGGTATAATGAACGTAATATAATGCTGCAGCTTGCAGGTGACATCTGGGGCGGTATACTATGGGGATCTGGTGTCAACTAGGCGTGCGTTTAGGCGATTCTGCCATACATATTATAGAAATCAAATATGGCTCACTTAGGATCTATAATATTTTGTGGCCATGGTGCTTCCCTGTTTAAAAGGGTGTATACCTATTTCACTTTATTATGCTAAGGAGGGAAGTGGATTTACTGTATTTCCAACTCCTCCAATTTTCTTCTGATTAATTTCGTTGCGGGTTCCAAGACAGTTTAATTTTTTCCTGGGACTTCCCGAGTGTCATAACTTGGTGTGTTCATGGGCCACTGCTGTTGATCCTGGTGTACAGGAGTTACAGTGGTGGGCGTGTGAGAGGGATTTTTCATATATGTACGTGGTTAAATACGATTTTAGGATTTAAATACGATTTTTTGATTTTAGGATTTTAGGTAGATACTACAATAATTACCACAATTATCACGTTCCATTAAAACTGTAGTAAACAGTGAAGTTCCTGGAAGCTGTGTACTGTAGCTTTGCAAAAAACGAACATCAGCCTTATTTACGTTGACATGGCTTATATCAGAGTTATGTTCTGCGTCACGTTGGATACGGCTCTGTTGGAAAACAACATCAAGATGATAAAAATTTTGATCTAAGTGGAAAAAACAAAAATTAGAAAACTTTTCTCTATAAATCATCTGTCATTACCCGACTGAACCAGAAGGAAGGTTATGTTTTTCGAGTGTATGTATGTTTATAATTATGTACGATCACGGTCATAAGTCCAGTGGCACTATTACGAAGTTATAGCATTATAACTAGTTAGATTTATGGCCTTCTTCTATTAACCTATATAACACACACACATATACACGCTACATGCGTATGAAAATAGAAACTAATTTCGACGTAATTAATAACTGTCCGTCTAGCGCTGCTGCAAATGCTGACGTTTTAAAACTCATGCAACCTTACAGTAACTGTATTATTAATCAGTATTCAAAATGCAAGCAAATATAATATTGAAGCCAGGGCCAACATTATAGCTTAAGGTGGGCTTAATATGTATAAAATATCATACGAAACTCGCCTAAGTGTAAGTTATTTTGTGTGATTGTGTGATGATGATTTTGGTGTATGATTTCATTTGTAACCGACTTCAAAAAAGAGGAGTTTGTCAATCCGGATCTCCACGGAAATCCGTCATATATAGACGGAAAAGCAAACTAATTTTTTGTTCGTTTATTACGAAATGAATTCCATTTAAATTTCATATACAACAGAACTTTTAAAAAAATGTCAGCCACTGAATGATTGCGGCTAGGTTTTTAGGGCTTTTCTTTTTGTTAATATTTTTTGTTATACAATCTCTTAAGTATTGGATCAAAATGTCGAATAAGATTATTTTTTTCAAAAAAAAGCTGTGAGACTTTGATTGAAAAGATTATAATTATTAGCCAGTCTCAGGGACGCTTTATGGCTGGCGAATATGTATCAAATGGTTCCGACGACATAATGCTACCTACTATGCTGTGTGCTACCTGTTTATCCCGTGGAAAAACTTATTCGGAATGACCACACATAGGGTGGTGGTGGGGTGTAGCTATCTATCTTAGAGCGCATATAACATATTAAGTTTTGAGTATGTCTACACAACCACGACTGGTGAGCATCTTTTCGTGGAGGATGAACTTACTACTGTCCTTCTTCCCGCATTGACATTTTGTATTCTTTAGACCATGTCCTAGAGTCTTTTACTCCTTCGTATACTCATACCATCTCACCACCATACTCACCAAGGGAGACTTTAACTTGTTTTCTTAAAAAAAAAACTTCCTGAATTAAAGGCATGAATATAACATGAATAGCCATGTATCTTCGCATGGATGCGAGCAGTATTGACTGGGGTAAGCGTCAATTATGAACTGATTTTCAAAATTCTTTTTTGTTAGAAAGGGTATAGTCCTGGGGTGGTCCCATCAAATTATTGAAGGAGCAGTTTCTTAATTGATGAGCGGAGCGGATGAGAGGACCCTGATGTCCTTAAAGCCTGTGGGTGAGCACATCTTATTTTTGCTTTTCTAAGTATCCTATCTTGTGTAGTGCATATTGTGTCTAATAGTGTATGTGTGTATTCAGTGTACTATGTAAGTAATTATATGAGTTTGTTAGTCATATCTTGTATCGTACTATCGTATTGTACTGTAAAATTGCAACTCCCCATGCCATCCTTAAATTCCTTCTCCATCCAGCGGTTGCCCGGAAGAAATCGCAAATAACGATAAGGCCGCTAATTATACAACTACTTTATATAACTAGTTTTACTTTCTTTGTGTAACCGTCCCTAGATACACGGTGATTTTGAAACCGTTTTGGAAAAGAAAATTTTGAATTATTTATCAGTAACAGAAGCTATATATAACGTTAATTTAATAAAAAAAAATATATTTTTTATCATCAAAGTCAATATCGTTTACAGAGAAAAAGTGAGAACCAGTAGTAGGGCATTCAATCACACGTAGGTAAATAATATGAATAGAAATACTATGCGTTTTAATATCGACTCACATAAAATCGTATTCGCCAATAAAAACAAAGCTACCGAGTTGCGCCGGAGTCGTCCAACCAATGACGTCTGCCCCGTAGGTACGAATTTCGACAGTACGAATTTTCAAACTGTCGACTCATTTTAGCGCTAATCAATGTAGCGTGCCGTCACGATGTTATGGTATTACTGACCGACTGAAAGCGAAGGACGCCTCACGATTACAGGTGAGTCCCGCGCATGCGCCTACGGGGCAGACGTCATTGGTTGCGTCATTATCACCAAGTCCGGAGCTCACGATGGGATCCCATGGCAATTGAGGGCAACCCTCAAATTTTATAGGCACGCATTATGTTTTCATATATTTTCTAAAGCTATTGTGTCTGGTAGTGCCACAGTGAAGCATGGTAGTGTATAAATAGCATTTTATAGAACCTGAATCGGGTAACTCACTTAACTGTATTTGATCACGGCGAAGGGCAGGCCACTTAACCTGGAACAAGATCCCCATTGTCCCGATGACCAGACCAGGCCCTTAGTAACAGAAATGTTGCGTTTCAACATAATTGTGAGGCTTATGGCCAGTTTCAATACATGCATCAAATCATAACAGTTAGACATGTTAACAAGAATAACATTTGCAGGTGGTAGTTTTCCGTAGGTTGCTACCTCTCGCGACTTATATGAAGTAGTTCAACTTACTACGTGCTTATGATTATTTAACTAAAAATTTAAAAAAAAAAACAATTTTATTAAAAACAATTACACCGACTTCAAAAAAACATTAAACAAAAACGCGTTACCTAAAAAGCGAAAAATAAACTGAATTATTTATTTATTCAAAAATGTGCGACTTTTTCTAACATTTTAAATCAAAAACTATACTTAGTCCCTAAGTATAACTTACCTATTCTCAATAAAATTACGAATAAACTTATAGACCTACAATATTATTTTACTTAGCAATCAAGCTATAGGTATGTATTTACAAATGACAATAATTTATTTACAAAATTACTATGTGACAATTATTGTCTAAACGTATTACCTATTAACTTAAATAAAATATTATTATAATGAATGCAAGGTACCTAAAATCTGTTTGAAGTCATCACTCGTAATCAGGCACACAGTGCAAGTGAGCTTATCGTACTATTCTATCACTGGTTCTAATGACTACTGTGGTGAATTTAGCATCGCTTTCAAATAGGTGCTACCACTGGAAGTTCAATAAAAAGAAAACGTATAAACAGGTGAATTTTATCTAGTGTTGTTCCCACTGATTTTTAAAAAACAGGGAATCCTAGTTTGAGGATCAGGGGGCTCATATAATTGAATGCCATACTACTCATTACAACTTATTATTGTTAAATGTAGTCATTGTGTAATTTTCTACTAATTGTATGGTTAACTTTATTCAATAAAAAAAATATTATTATTCTCTTTATTTACTTAATATACATATTATTTACATTTTTAAACATACACTTTATAAAAAAATATTAAAAAATATATATTTAAAAATAGAAAAAATAGTAGATCACCGACATCCAAAGGGACCAAGACACCGGTGATTAGGACTCCAAAAATAGGAACTTCCTCACTATACGAGCCGTGTCAAGGAGGACTGCCTTCTGCATCAGACCCTTGATCCAGCCGTCCAACGTGAGCCTCTTAAGGTGTTGGTCGAGGCTCTTGGCTATCAATCCGTGAGCAGATACGACTATCGGAACAATGATCACTAAATCAACATTCCACATATCGACAATATCATGAGATAAATCCAAATATTTAATTTGTTTTTCTTTTTCAACTTTCACGAGATTCTCGTCATGAGGAACGCTGATGTCAACAATCATTGCGCGGCGCTCTAATCGATCTATCACCACAATATCTGGCTTATTGGCAACAATAGTCCTGTCTGTGATAATAGACCGATCCCTATACAACGTAGACCGACCATTCCCGAGAACTGGGTCGAGCACATACCTGTAGTATGGCACCTCTAGATTCACAAGATGGTATTTAAGGGCAAGCTGTTGGTGTACGGTCCTGGCTACTTGGTTGTGCCTGTACAAATATTCACCGTTAGCAAGACGAGAACAACCAGAAATAATATGCCTGATTGATTCGCCAGGACGGTGGCATGCCCGACAGATGTGAAGCGTACCATCTTTCAGTACATATTTCCGATAGTTATTCGTCATGATAACTTCGTCCATAATCGCACAAACAAAACCTTCAGTTTCTCCGAAGAGATCACCATAAAGTAGCCAAGTCGTAGATGCTTTTAAATCTATATCGGACCCGTTTAGGGCCCGACAAAACCGACCATGGAGCTCTTTGCCCTTCCATACTTCCCTGCGATCATAAACACTAAGTACTACGGGTTTGCGCCAATTCCCACATGCACTCCCACATCAGTATGTAGAAAATATTCTCTGAGATTGCATATCTCGCGATTATGTAGGGCCTTGATATTTAATAGTCCGCGACCCCCAAGCTTTTATGGGATATTTTAAATTATTATTAAATTATACTTTCGTGTATATGTCTATATTATCAGGTTATAATATGTATGTGCATTAAAATATCACACACACAAAGACAGGCACCAAATCGGCGTGCGAATATGAACATTACAGTGCTACTGCATTTATGACCGTTGACTCTGTAGCCTAAAAGGATAGATGGATTTTTGTGTTTGAGGTGTCGTTAGATTCGTCATAATTGTGAGAATGACCCTAGGTATATGAAATTTAAAATCGCTAGCTTGTAAATTTTTAGGTATACATTTTAATGCAATGAAAGTTTACATGCTAATAAAATAATCATTTAATCATCTACTTGCTGTATTTAAGGACACAACAAGTAAATACTTCAGAAATCATGACCAGTGCTTACTATAGCTAGAGGTACATATTATACAATTCTTTTAAAAAAGTATTTTAATGTAATCTAATGTGGGCTACTCTTCCACAACTTCTATTGTTCTCACAAAAAAAACTGTTATTTTAATAGATGCAATATTAGTAGCTACACTCGGCGTTGACAACAATAATGTTTGTTTAAAAAAGTTCACGTTAACATTTTAGTACTTTGTAACTTTAAACTTGCAAGTAGATCATTCTTTTTCATCCATCGAGATGAAAAAAAAGGATCCACTTGCAAGTTTTTCCAATCTTTCATACCTAACTATTTTTACTTATTAGGTTCTCATCGTACATACCCTTGTAGATTCAATATTGTTGTCATCCACGTCATGAACAGCATCATTTGTCACCACGCAACTTACTGTCTGAAAGTTAAAAAATTGTTAGAGTAAACATTTTATTACGAAATATTTAGGTTCAACTGCGATGCGTATTATTATAAAAGCGACGTTTTGTTTATTGTAAAATAATTAAACTTTAAAGTGCTATTTCTTTTAGAAACAGTGGTTATTTTTTTAAACTACACGAAATTTTATCTTACATCGAGTCTTCGCAACAAATAAGCCTGACGCGGCATTTCTCTTCGAAGTCGGAGTATATAGGGGTCGAGTAAACGAACACGCTTCTCTGAATCCTCGAACACATGCTCAATTGGTATATACTCATCACCAGAATCCTGTATCAATTAAAAAAAAAATGAAATTAGTATTAATATTCTATTAATAATACAAACTAAAGTAAATATACGACTATTGAATATCTAAACCCAAAATACGTTTACAGCGCCTGCGGCGGCTTTTTAAATAGTGTAAGGATTAGCCCATTTATTGAGGAAGGCTATAGGCTATATCACATCACGCTACGATGAACAGGAGCGGTGTTTCAATGAAAAATGTTGCAAAAACGGGCAAAAATAAGTTGCAACGCCTTCTGACCCATCGCATTGGAAGAGAAAAAATATTCCCCTGGCACTGTTGGTAGTGTAATTTCGTAGTGCGATGGGTCAGATAGGGCGCGGGTCCGCAAGTCGTTTCTATTCTTCTCCGAATAGAGGCGGAGTTGAAAATCTAAGTCGTTTCCATAATTTCATGTGAGACAGAATGTCGTACTACCCTGCCGAGGTTGCCGATAGCTTGTCTTTTGTTATTATGAAAATATTAAAAAGATAAGAAAACCAACTTGATGGTTAATTATAAAGCTGATCGTAAGAAGAAATAATGAACGCACCGACTTGAAGAACGAAACACGTGGAAGACCTGTGTCAGCACACAGGTGAATAATGCTGAATTGAAGGAGACGGTGGAAGCCGATTCAAGTCAAACTACCCAGGAATTAGCGGCATGGTTTAACGTTACCCTACCTACAACAGGATTCAGAGAAGTGTGTACGTGTACGTTACCTATTTGTTTATTACCATTTGCATCAAATCAATAAGATAAAAAAATATGAAAAATGGATGCCCCATGAATTGACTGATCTGCAGAAAAAAAAATGCATATTAAAACTTGTCTTGCTTTGTTGAATCGGTATAGATATGAAGGAATATTGGATCGAATTGTGACATGTGACGAAAAGTGGATTGTTTACGATAAACGATAAACGCAATGGCTGACCCCAGGTCAAACGCCGCAACAGTGCCCTAAACCAAATCTTATCAATAAAAAGGTAATGGTAACTGTTTTGTGATCTCTTCATGGTGTTATTTACTATAGCTTTCCCTGGTCTGGTAAGGCAATAACAGCAGATGTTTACTATGCCGAACTTCGAACAATGATGGTGAAACTGGCAGTAAAACAGCCCCGACTCATGAATTCTTCACGATTATTGCTCCATGATAGCGCAAGAACTCAAACTGCATGAGAAACCATTGTAACTATACAGGAGCTGCAGTTAAAAACCATACGTCATCCTTCGTACTCGCCAGACTTTGCTCCAACGGACTACAATATTTTTAGTGATTTAGACAATTTTCTACGTGATAAAAAAAAAATCTTCCCATGAGGCAGTACAAAATGCTTTTACCTTTTTTTAGATCTCCAGAACTCTATCGTAAAGGCATAAATGAACTGCCGTTTAGGTGGCAGCAAAGTGTAGATAGTGAGGGTAAATATTTTGATTAAATAATTATCTTACTGTGGAGGAACAGGTGGGAGTCGGCACATTACATATTAGAAAAAAACGAGTTTCAAATTTTCAGTACAAATCGGCAATTTCATACTTTAACACCTAATATTATCATTTAGGTACAACATTTTATAATTTCTTACGCCCCACGAGTGAGTTTTATTTCTTCCCCACGACACTCGTGTGGCATGGGAGCGCGAGACGTGGCCGCGGGTAGGCCCTGCTTTAGCACATATTGACCGGCTCGACTGTGTTAACCGGTGTTAAGTAATTGTTTCGTTGTTTTTCACTGAGTAATTGAGTTCACCGGAAGGCAAACGACCCAGAAGGTCTCTTGAGGTATTCCTTAACGCCGGTAACCACTTACCATCTACTCGTTTGGTCCCCATATCATTACAAATCGCTCTGCGGTCTGTGTCACAAGTATAGCTGCAATTGGCCTTCGACTGCACGCTTTAATGTCGCCGCGACCGAAATTATTTTCATGGAACCAGTTGATGCCGTGCCAATCCAAAACGCTGTAACTTTTGAAGACGACTTTAAACTTCGTAAGCTTTGTTACAGTTTTTTACCATGTTAAAACCCTAATTTCAATACAATACAGTATTTTTTAGATTATTGTCTCTTCTAAAATACACTTTAGAATAACAAAAGTGTTCATCAGGGGTACTAAACCGACGTAAAGAAAGTGATTGAGCGTTGTTAAGGCAAAACACTAAGTCGAGTTACAGTCTTTTGGATTGGCACGGCAGCTGTGTCACTTGTTGTTTACGTTTCACAGTCCCTTTTGGCCCTGTTCCTTATGTGACCAATATTTACATTTATGAGGTATATGGGCACAATAAATTGTTTTGTTGCTTGCTTGCTTGTTGATTGCTGTTTGTTAGCAAGCAAACAATGATTTGTAGTATAAGTATGTATTTGATGTTTAGGTAAAAAATCGATTCTCAATATTTAAGGTAATGAAACAATGTAAGCATATTGCTTACAAACTTTGGGGACTAAAAATAGAATCTGTTTTCACTTACACCCGCTTCGCTGGTTATTTTGACGGTAAGAGCCAATTTTTTAATGCAGTCTTTTAATACATTGTGCTTAAAAAGTTCATCTCGTTCAAATCTTGTTGCTTCGCTTTCAGGAGCTATATTTAAAACCTTAGAACAAAGTTTGTATTAATAATCTCATTTAATACAGAGTTTTACCTTATTAAGATCGCTAAAGATGAAGATATGAAGTTTAAGATGTAGGTATAGAATTTACTATTCTTGCCCAAGTATTCACTAGTTTACAATATCTACCGCACTTATAACTTGTGTTACTAAATACAAGTCGTTGCAGAACTTAGGAAATACTACCTTTATCGGAATATTTGTGTTTGTTAAAAATAATATAATAATAATAATAATCTTGTACCACATCCACACAACGCCATCTAGTCCCAAACTAAGCAGTGCTTGTACTATGGGTACTAGACTACTGATATCAATACATATATACTTTTTTTTGTAAATACATACCATATTATACATAGAAATACCCAGACCAAATCAAACATTAAATGTTCATGCACACAAATGTTTGACTTGAGCGGGAATCGAACCCGCGACCTTTGGAATAGCAGTCCGTTACACGAACCACTACGCCATCCAGTCGTCAAATAATAATAATAAAGTATTAGGGATTAACTAGTTACACACAGAGTCAGAGGTATAGCGCGTAATAGGTATTAGGTAATACACTGGTTAATGACGTAGGAAGACAAACTAACTCTTAACGAAGACTGCTTATTTCTACACTGTGTACTGTGTGTACTACATGGATGTGTAGGTTCCACGTAAACTAATTAGTACTGTTACTCATACGTATTAATTATCCTTCCAAGTGCTTCTAAAGTAACAATCATACCAATGAACATAGTAGGTTAGGCAAACGTTTGCTCTTTAGGAAGGGAGGTAGGATAATGCAGCCACGCTAAACATCTTTCTCTGTGTAAACTATGCGAAAGTGACATAGGTACCTCATATGTACGTCGATAATGCTTACTCAAGGTATCACTACTACAGAAATTTATAAATAACATGAAATGAATATGTACTATTATGGTGCAAATATATAATACCTCGGGTTGACAATTTATAAAAACAGCCCTCACTTCCACCTGAGGCCTATCCCTTTTTTGTAAACCAGTTGTATCTTCCTCCTCATAGCTAAGTGCTGCAGTTATTTGGCTTACAATTACGATAAAAAATATTCCTACCCTGAGAAGAAGTTAATAATTGAAAAAAAAAACAACTAAAATATGCAGCATGCTCAAATGATCAAATCAAAACGATTAATCAATCAATTGTTTTTGACCTTTGTAGCTCAAGTATTTGTATATTAAATTATCAAAAAAACAATCTAACATACCACTTATGCTCCATATCTCGTATATAATTAAAACCTAAAATAAAATGGTCAAAACATTTAAACTGACGTATCAATTATGCTCCGTACCTATAAGTCATTGTCACTTTTATAATCGTCTATGACTTATCAGAATACTACAACAATGTGCAACCTTTGTTATAAGTATACATGATATAATTAGCTGCGGTTTATCTTGGCGATGCCACATTACAAACATAAATCCTGGTGATACAATCGGTCATGCATCCCAAAATACAAAAAATATGTTGTTGAAACTGCCTTGCATGTGCAGTGAACCACCGTTCATCGTAGGTATGCCTCGCAATCGCAATATGTGGAGTGTGGATTATCATAGTCGTGGCGAGGCATGTCCTATGCAATATGCGGGCGAGCCAGCGTATGTTGGCAAATGCTCCACGATCAAAGTGTATGTAAGGACGTACCAGACACTCACTATTTGAGGCGTGTGCCGCGCACAACACACAACGCACCGCTGGCACGCCCCGGCTGTGAAAATGAATCTTTTCGAGTCATTAAACCACCGCGCCGAACCGATAAACCACAATCATAATGGTACCACCGCATCGCGTACACGTAACCACTTCTGCTTATAGCCAATGGTTGATAAAAAAAGAAAGGAAAAGGTGCTTTGTTTTTTTTTTATTTTTTTTTTATTTTTCTTTCTGCTCATTTGCCCCCTATACCATAAAAAAGGTGCTTTAATTCGCACAATTTAAGGGATTTACATTGTGACCTAATGCTTTGCACGAAGTTGGAACTTCCTTCTGGAACTCGTGCATTCTGGTCTCTTGACAAGGCTGTCCAAGGGAACTTCTGTAGCCAATCCCTTAGACCCCTGCTGATCCGATCTACTAGGCGAACAGTTTACATCCAACTTGACTTTGTTAGAGCTGTATGCCGTAAATCCGGTTCACCCAGAAATCACTGTGTAAAGTACTCTTTTCCTTCGATATTCATAAGTATGGGCCCGATGGTATCTCTCCTATCGTGTTGAAGTTGGCACCAGTTTTAACGCGCCTTTTTCTCTCCTACTCCCTAGGCGTCGTCCCGAACTCCAGTAAGGTGAGCTCTGATCCGTCCAACTACAGGCATATAGCCATAACCACCTTGTTTACTCAGATTATGAAATCCGTAATCAACTGCTACTCAATACCGACAATATGGTTTTCGCCGGGTTTACTCAGCTGGTGATCTTCTCGTTTATCTAATACACCAGTAGGTACAGGCGATCGAGACCAAGAGAATGGCTTGTGCGGTAAGCCTGGATATAGCGAAGGCCTTCGAGTGGGTGTGGCATAAGCCGCATTTCTCAAAGCTCCTATGGGCTTCCCGAGATATTATGTAACAGGGTCACCAGTGTCCTTCAAGGCAGAAGCATTAAGGTCGTTATCGACGGTTCTATTACCCACATTGTTTCTTCTGCATATCAATGATAGCACGGGGGATGCCTTTTACACCGGGCCACCCCAATACTTCTTACCGAGAGTCGAAACAAACTTGTGTCTGAAATTGAAACTTCCTTAACGGAGTTTTCAGATTGGGGTCAACTGAAACTAGTAGATTTTAACCCAATAAAGACACAGCTTTGCGCGTTTACCGCAAAAAACATACCGTTTGTGGTATCGTCTCGGTTCGAGAGCACCTCCCTAACTGACTCAGCCAGTATCAGAATCCTAGGCATTGACATATCGGGCGAAGTCCAGTTTCGCAGTCATTTAAAGGGTAGGGTCAAATTAGCCTCGGAGAAGCTAGGTGTGCCATCGCCTCCAACTCTATAATGCGCAAGTCCGGCCGCACATGAAATACTTTTCTCATCTCTATTTACCTCAGTCAGTCAGACTTGAATCGTCGATAGTCAAAAGATCTCCGACTGCCTTGATACGATGTAACTTCGCTCTGCATTCTCTATCGTATATATCATGGAGAGTGCTTCGTGCAATTGTTCGGTCTAATACCGGCCGCAACTTACCGCCATCGTTCCACACGCCAAAATTTGCATCCCAACCAATTAGATAATTGGCACTCCGCCACTGTACGCTTTTCAAGATACTTTTTGCCTCGCACTACCAACCTTTGGAACGAGTTATCGTCTGCGGTATTTCCGGGCCGATACGACCTTCAACTTTCAAGAAAAGAGCGTACTCCTTCCTCAAGGGCCAGCAACGCGCTTGTGACTCCTCAGTTGCAAGCGTTCAAGGGCGGCGATGGTCACTTTCCGTCAGGTGACCCGTCTGCTCGTTTACGCCCTCTTCCTTAAAAAATGAGAAGTATAGTTTACGGTCGCTCTTCTGTAATATTCCACACCGTCTTCAACCCATACCTTATTTCGATCACCCAATTCATCACCGTCTACATATTCATCCCGAATTACAAGGTCAACGGCTGTTTTACAGGAGGTATTAGCCACTAACCTTACCCACTGCAGGCCCTCTTCTCGTACACGAAAGAAATGTACTGAAGATTTGAACCGTTTTATACACACACGGCGCGACAAGCATAGCACGCCGTTATTGCGGTGGTAAAACCCATTATGAAGGATTGGCTAGACAGGAAACACGGGACCCTCTGATACCGGCTGACGCAAAGGATGCTTTGGACATCGCCTGTATCGCAGAACCAACGCCTGCCACCACTGCGATTGCCAGAGTGTAGACACGACACGTCACACGCGAAGGAGAGTGCGAAGTGGGACCGAGAGGGACTTTGAACTCTCTCCCGGCCTGCCATAAGCCATGCATGTAGAAAGATCAGCCATTTAATAGGGCCGGCACTGACTGACGTCGCGATACGGTGCCGCTTGGTAAAGGATTTTATTTTTGATCAAGTTCTTTTTATCCTTATTTCAATGAGTTTAGAATTCATATTGCTTCATTTCAATACAATCACACTGCGGCGCGCCATGACATGCCATCGCAGCACATCTAGCGTACCGCCGCACTAAGAAAAAAGGTAGAACAACGGCATATCAAAAATCGTTTTTACTAATATCGTTATTGACACACTTTTAAAAGTTTATTAAATAGTATAAGAATGGAACTTTAATATAATGTAGTGATTTGGTATGAATTACATTTGGAATATTTTTTTTTTTAATACCACAAAGTGTAATTCTTAAGAATGTCTATTTCAGGTTTGTTCGCTTCAATACTTTAAAATTAATTTAATTTCAAAAAATTGTGAGGATAGTTATAAAGTGTTATACATTTCTAAAAAGCTCATTGTATTTAGATTTAAAAGCAATTATTATAATTATGATTATATTTCTATTATAAAAAAAAAATTACAAGAAACAAGAAGTGAGGTGAAAAAAAGTTTAATTTTTTAACTTCATCGAGGCTTTTGATAGTTACCGACAACTGCCGATACTTTACATTTGATGTTGTTTTGATTTCCATCGCACTTGACATTGGCAGAATTGTCGACATCGGCACAGTTTGATATATAATAATAAGAAGAAGAAGATGTTGTTTTGTAGCGTAGATATTCATAAATAACAGTTTTAAAAATCAGCTGCGGCTACGTGCGGTTGCTGAAGTTATCACGAAAAGTATGATACAAGTCAGGAAAGAGAAAACTACTATCTATTGTGCATTGTCGAACTATTTAATTGATTAGTTTGCGGTATATTTTTATTCAATATTAGTTGTTTATTGATAATAGGGCGTTTTTTCCTACATTTTGCACTCAGTTTGCGGGCAACTTTAATAAACAAAATGCACGCCACCCTCATTTATCAAAGTATATATAAAAAGAGGCTTCCTTTAATGTCGCTATCACAAATTCGTAATAAACTAAACAGACGTCTGACTGTTTCGTATCTTCGCTGAATATCAAAATGTCTACTACTTTCAAGTGTTCTAAGCGTGAATTATTACTTTCATACATTAAAAAGAACTTGAAGCTCTATCAACAGTTTTAAAAGCAAAATATTTTTTTCTGAAGACGACATGTGTTTTATTATCAGTGATATTCAAAGGAATCTTATTCCTCGCTTTAATAGACATTGGTAGAAGCATCGAGGAAAACATTTTTTTTAAAGTAAGGTGGGTGGACCATGGAAGGCCACGCTCCTTTGAAGGCCAACTATTAAAAAGTCGTAGTTATTGACAGGTAAAGTCATATTCCTTCTACTACACACTACAGTCCATCAAACTGAAGGCCACAGACGCGGCTGCGAGTCGCTCGCGCCGCTATTGTGGCAGTGCGATCTCACACTTCATAGACTTCGGTCGTCGACGTTACAATTGTTATTCGCGTGCACAGCAAAACGTAAGTTTTTAGTTAAATAACCTATTGTTTACTTATATTTTTTACTGTGAATTGTCGTGTAAGGATATTTTTATGGAACTCAAGAAAAAAAAAAAAAGAAATTGCCTCGATTTAAGTGAAAATATTGGGAGTGTTCCTAGGAAAGCCGGTGGTTCCTTATAAGGCCAATCAAAAATTTGACGGTTGACCTTGCTAGGGAACATGGGCCTTACATCTATAAGCCATGAACATATGAACACTTATTATGTGGTTATAAATACGTACCGTTAAAGTTAAAACAATGTTTTATATTTATAATATTTTTTTAAGGGTTTTATAACTTTTAAACTCAGATTGAATAGACATTGTTTTTCAAAATTATTTTATTTTCAGTATACATTTAAAGTTATTTTATGTCTATGAAGAGGTTATGTCTGGAAATAAACTAAACTAATTTACATGAAAAGCAAAGAATATAAAAAATATTTGCTTGTTAAAAGCGGTAAAGTAAGTATGAGATAAGTTAAAAATTGTAGATCTAAGATAGTCTGTCTAAAACTATAATTAAAGCAAAAAAAAAATTATATCAATGAGTTTTTGAAAATTTATACGTATTATTTCAGATTTCAAAAATGTCACAGTCAGAACCTAGAAAAAGAGGTAGTAATTGGAACGAAGATAGTTTAAGACGAGCCATGGAAGCAGTACAAAATAATGAACTTAATACAAATGCTGCAGCGTTGAA